CTCAAATGCTCTTTTCTTAGTTAATTAAAGTGGCCCATTCAGTAAGATTAAGGCATCCGGGGTCCAGGCATTAATTACATGTGTTACCCATTTTATTTAACAGCTGTAAAGCCAATGAAAAAAGGGATTTTTTGCAAGATCCTCTGTGACTAAAAGGTTTGTTTGCATGGCATGAAAAGGCTCTGCAAGCTAAAGAGTAAGTAGTATCCCTTTAGCTTTAGGAATCATACTGTTTTTAAACTACATCTCTGTCTGCCGTATTTGCTGCACATGATCAATTATGGACAATACAGTAGAACACACTTAGAAAAGAAACACTGTTGACTTGAAACACACTTTCAATAGAAGCCAGTGAGCAGGTTGAAGCTATGAATGAATGTGCTTTGAGTACAGCAAATTACTGTGTGTAGTAACCAAAGGCATCGTACAAATGCATAAAAAAAAAAAAAATACTGGAGTATTCAGGTTAACAGATGCAGGGTAGCTGCTTGACTTCCTACACGCTACAAGTGGTTAAGCCTTTAAGACTGAATGTGTCACCGTAGACACATTGATGGCAAATTGTGTTTGAACTTAAATCACTTTACATCTCAGATTTCAACAAACTTCAAATTCCACATTAAATTAGAGACGTAAAGCTTTCTGACAGAAGACACTTGCAGTATTGTTTGTGCTATATCTTTCTGAAACCCCAGCTCTGACCTACACTACATCAGCAGTTATCTGTATTGCCCACTCGTTATATTACAGTGTACACAGATCAATGTTCAGTGGCCGTTTTTTCTACATATTTTTTCTTGTCGCTTGGTAGCCAATCAGAAGATGAAATACACCATCCAGGAAATCCAGTCAAAGCAATAGCAATATATATCAACAAATGCCTACTGACAGTGCTGAGAAATATGGTCACAGAACTGTACATATTGTTGCTGTCGGGACAAAATCTCTATAAAGGTAACATTACAGGAGAAGGAAAAAATGTTTCTGGCTTTTAATGAACGTCAATGGAGAAATGATTTACTCCAAGCAATTTGGGACTAATTTTAATTAATCTATTCATCATGAAAATTTAAGACAATGTAAATGGCAGCTGGTGATGTCAAATTTTGTCAAAAAAAAATATAAAAATGGAAATACAAGGTTTTGTACCGAAAACAACAATACAGACAATAAGACTACCCGTGACTTTTGTAAGTTGTCAAAGTAGGGCGATTGTTTGGTAATGACAGAATTGCCTCTAAGCCAATCACAATCATCTCTACAACTCCTCAGACCAAACCTGCAATAAGAATGTTGGTGGCAGTACAATGTAAAAAATGGCTCGTCAGATCAACCTAAAAAACTTCTTCATGTAGTAACAAGCAATTGAACTAGTTGTGATCAACTCAAAATATTACATTGATAAAAGAATGAATCATTCAAAGTGTTTATTTAGACTGAATAAAAGTAATTCATTTACTTGTTACCCCCATGAACTAATTTTTTAGGTTGATCCAACAAGCCATTTTTTACAGTGTAATTCAGTCAGAATTAGTAGACTAAGAAATGCTAAGAAAAAGACTTAGAAATCAATAGCTGACACACTGTCACACTGCCCTGGTCATCTGGAGGACAGTGCTGTTTTATGTCATTCTTGAAGCTCAAAAAGTTTTAGATTAAACTACATGAAAACCATGGAGATAAAGCACATACCATCCTGCTGAATTTCCACTGGTAATCGCCACATTGCTTTGCTCCTTATTTGCATGGCAAAACTTTGCTCAACTTTGTCGCGTCATTGACTCCACCCACTTTGCATTGCCAATGTCACTGGAAATCGCCAGCTCTTGCTGAAAATGAATGAATTCCGGTCGGTTTGTTGTGTCCGTTATGTTGCTGGTGTGAATGGAGAGTCAGGCATGAAAACTGCTTTAACACAGAGTGACTAAACGATTTGCCTTGTTTGATTCATGTAACTTTTGTTTGCTTTAAATTGGCCTTCATGCATATTTTGTCTCAAACATCTGTTTCTGCACTGAACATCTTATAAAGCCAGTTTATTTCTGAATGTAGAATGCTTCTGAATTTTACTTACTACTTGTACTACTGAACTAGTCTGTTAGCACAAGAGTTACAGATGCTAACTCTTGCAGCCTGAAAGTTTGACCAACGTAGCGACAATAATTAAGAGAGACGGGACTTTTTTGGACTTTTGCAAATGGTCAATTTCCTTTATTTTATTTATTTTCATTGTTTTCCCAGTAGAACAAATGTGCTCCTTTGAGGTATTTTCTGCATTTGCAAACTGTTTTTTACCTTAAACACTGAAAATCTGTGTTAATGACTGTTATTACTGAAATACTGAGTTTGTACTGAATCAGAGCATACTGATTACCAGATAATAGTTCTCTATCAACCAAGTTACAGTCACAAATGCAAAGATACACCCAGTCAGCCCCTTTTCTAAATGATTAACAGAGCTGAAGGCCAAGTATGTGGATGATGACCAAAAAAGTCCCCTGTTCCAGGAAAGACCGCTGAAACGTACTCTAAAACATTTACGTGACATTTGAAGTCTGTCACTGGAGGACCCGCCGCAGACAAGGAAGATAATTGTTTGTTTAAAAGACAAAGTTATAGAAATGTCAAGAGAAGGCATGGTGGAGAGACAGAGGTCTGTGTGAGTCACGGCAGACGAAAGTGAGTCATCAAAAAAAGAAAAAAGGGTAAGAGAATAGAGAAAGACACTCAACCTACATCATTCAAACCACGTACATCTCTCCCCAAACTCGTATCAGGGAGTGTGGCTTATTTGTTCGACCAGTGCACCACGTTTGAAAAAAAGCACAAGAAAAAATATATTAAACAGAAACAAAAGTCATGAATACATTTTTCTTCTACTTTTTTTTTACGAGCCGACAAGGTTGGATGCAGCACCTTGGTCATCCAACACTGACGCTTTCCATCTGAACTGCTTCAGAGCACTTAGAACCTCAAAATCAATTTCTCTCCCAACAGGACTTCGGGTGAAATGCTTGGGGAGTTTGGGAAATGGCCAAAGAATTGCAGCAACATTTAAAGTGTTCTATAAGTGCACTTGGGCATTCTGTGGATTGTGTGTGTGTGTGTGTGTGTCCTCATGTCTTGTATGTGTGTGTGTGTGCTTTAGCTAATCTCGTCTTATCATATTAAATTCACTGCAATCAGCCCCATTTACCCGTTATTCAAAGACCGAACAAATTGCTCTATTGTTTTTATTGAAACTCATGGATGCATTAATGAACTGCATTTTGCCAAAGTGACTGCATTTTAAAAAGGCAAAGATTGCAAATCGAAGACGGATAGCGCAGAATATAAGGGAGCAATTAGCATGTATCATTATCATCATTATCGTCATTAGCGGATGGAGATAGACAATTTACTGATTTTGAGATAAGATGTCCACGTTTGTTTTCCCAAATTACGCCTCCCACAGATCAGAATCTCACAATATTTTTAACGATTAATTGGTTTCAACAATAAGGCCATGTTTCTTTTCTTTTTAGGCAGTGCACCAGCCTCTAACCTCTAGCCTTGTTAGCTTTTTCCTTTCAATGCCTCTCTTACAGTTTAAACCACTGCATCAAACTTCTCTTCCATCTCCCTGGTTCTGATATCTCGAGCTTTCAGTTTTGACTTTGTTGAAATTTGAAAGCTGAAGAGTGCTGATCTAACTCAACTCCAGTTCAAGCTTCTGCCTTGTCTCCCAATCTCCATCTTTGCTTCTCCTATCACAAATTCTCTTTTCACTCCACAAAATCCACACATATGAAGCTTTTTCTGCCCCCTCTCATGCTCCCTACCCAGCTCTCCTTCACTGTCTTTCTTGGGCAATTCTTTTTTAAGTAATGCAGTGATCTGCTAGCGTATGCATATGGACATTTTAAATTTCATTTTCAAATTCATTTCAGATTTCATTTTATTCATTTTTAAACCCAAACCTCTTTCTGTTTGATGTCATTGAGAAACTATAGACTGAAGCTTAAGCATAGCTAGAAAACCACTGAGCCATTTAACTCAAGCCACTGAGTTAACATAAGCATGTAGTTGATAGTTAACATAGATTAATATAGCTGTGTGTGAATTAAAAGCAATGTGTCATTAGGCCAGCCATAATGGAGCTCTTTTTGTACCACACAGTCTAAGGAACATAAACAAAAGGGGTTAATCACCTACAAACTAAAAATATGTTGTCATTAATTGCAACTGCATTTAATGTTGAGGTAAATAAAGTCCATATGCTGACTCCACTCTATTAGACTAAATGGAAATGTGAAGCATAATTAACCCCTTTTCATAGCAGCTATCAAATGCAATTTGTCCCTCTTTTGGAGGAGGAACCATGAGTTTCTTTCTTCAGTGACGCTGATTTAGATGGAAATGTATTTTATTCACAGCGGCAGCGAACTGGAGTTTCATCTTTGTAGGTGAGCAGGTAAGTCAACATTGACAACAGTGTTTTGACTGTTTTAAATGCTATTTTTTGGGCCATTGTACATGATTTTTTGGTATAAACAGGCTGCAGTTGTGTTGTTGGATCTTGGCAAGGCCGTTATTGTGGAGAGGTGTAAATTATTTTCCCCTGCCTCTTTCTCCCCTCATTGCTCACTAGCAGCTCAACACAGAATCACAACATTTCACTCACAGAGAGCCAGTATTCTAGCTAATCTGATAATATATATTCATTTAAAAATATTAGAGTCGATTTCCATTCTGCCTGTGAAATGGTCACTAGAGTGCCTGCTGAATGATGTTCATAGCAACGTAGGCTCATAAAATGCTCAATGTTCCATAAAAATACAGCAGATAAACTATGGAACTGCAGGCAGTTACAGACATTATCAATTAATAATACAAAGCTTTCCACCAAAGTCGCTGTAAAATGACAGTACCATCACAAAACAACCGTACATCTACCCCTCCACCCCCACAAACATGCATGCACACACAAAGAAACGGACCGGTCTAGTTGGTCCACTCACCTTGCTGCACAAAGGAGCCATACACAAACCACATGGAGTTGTAGAGTGTGGTGGAGGAGACAGAGCCCATGGGCAATCTGGGTGGGTTGAGCCAGTTCAGCAGGTACACCAGCGTGCCCACCAGCAGCACAGTGCCTGCAATGCAGGCCCACAGCGAGAGGTCAAAGGGGGCCAGGCAGGCAAACATGTCCATGGTACGCTCAGCCTTCTTCAGCAGCACGCCCACTGAGTAGTCCATATAGCGGGTGGTGAAGTCGACCACGCTCTCGCGCTCAGGGGTGATGGTCAGTGCCGAGAGTCCAACATCCGCTCTCTGCAGGAGCACAAAAACAACCACACTCAGGTTTACACATGCAGCAGGGAAATGTAGCTACACACAGGAGACAACTAGCGTTGTCTATATGCATAGACATCTCCACACGTGTGCACATACATTTACACAAAGAGTCACGTATGTACACTGCTCACTAGTTTAGAGATGCATTGCCTTCTGAAATGAGATTTTCTCATTTCTTTCTAAATTACATAAGAAAAAAATACCTGCACGGGTTTTGTTAATGTTAAACAGCTGTTTGCTAATACTTTGGGTTTACTTTACAACAATCAGCGTCAGGTTCATCAAAGAGTCTTCCTTGAAGAGTAAATTTAGGCAAAATAATGATTTGACAGTTGTATTTTTGAAACTACTGTTAAAAGCATATATCATATACAGAAATACAATGGAAAGCGCACTGAAAATCTGGCACTTTTTTCTTTTAAATCTGGAAATTTTAGAATCTTGAAAATTTAAAACAAGCTGTGACAATTTAAAATGAAAGTTAACAAAGCTGACATATTAATAACACATTAACTCAGTGAATGATAAACCTCACAATTTTTTCAATAATGTGAATGCTTTCTATAGACCCTTTGAGCCATCCATAGTTTGTTGACAGCAGGCCAAGTAAGATCACGGTCAAAAGAAGGTCAACCAGTTTCAATGCTATTAACGATACTGAACTGAACGTTTCGCTGGTAGTCCAACATAAGAATTTGGCGATGGCCCCTTATACTCATTTAAATCTGCTGCCAGAGCTGTCACAGCGTGTGCATGTTGGCTATAGCGAAATCTATCAGTGTGTGGAATCAGAGATTACAATTAATTTGTTTAATCAGAGTAATGATAAAACACAAATGACATGTGACTTACATTCCATATATTCATGTGTTTTCTTGCTCAAAAAAGTAGTTTGTAAGATTAAATGGAAGAATCAGTCATGTTCACGAACAGAATAACAGTTTTAATATCATTAGTATTAATAAAGCATTCAATTCATGTGTGTGGACAGCTTCAAATGTCCCATCCAATCAGATTTTAAATCGTGATCATCCATTTTATAAATACACATATGTAATGCTGTGAAAAATCCAGACTAGGCCTGAGCAACACTCAGCAGCACACTTCCACATATTCACACAAAAGCAAGTTCAGCTAAGTCACAAGCAGTTCTGTAGAAACTCAAACTAGACTGCAGAAGAACACTGTCGCTGACACTGTTTGTGTCGCTGCAAGGCATTAAAAGTGTAATCAGTGTAAATTGCATCCCCTTCCCATCCCTGTGATGTTTGCTTTTTCCTTTATGATTACAATCATTCATATTTCCATGATGTCAAATCAGGAGATGTGTCAAGGCACGGCACTCCTTATTTCCCGCCACCACAATAAATAACAGAATATCAGATTGAAAAGCGAGCAAACAAACAAACATGGGGAGCGGAAAAAAGCACAGCCTATACTTTAGCTAGAGGCTGTATTGTCAGCTGCTGAATGGAAATTGTTTCTCGAGCGCTCGGGTGCATAACAGCGTCCTCTTTTTTTGTTGTTTGTTTTTGTTTTTTTCTCCTAGTCCTAGAACTTTCTGTGTTACCAGGCACGCAGACGGGGGAGGGGAGTGGAAGGAAGAGGAGTGCACCTATAGGGCCTGGTGAGAGCCCCTGTCAGGAGGCATTAGAGGCTAGCGTGCGTGCAAGTGTCCGTTTTCATTATCATTGGGCCAGCGTCAAGCCTCACCTGGCTGACTCCCATTAGCCTGCATGGCCACGTTTAGAGAAGAGGAAGATCCGGAAGACCTCTGTGTTCAGTCCCATCCGCTCCCGTGCGCCCCTACGCTAATGTCTACTCATGGCACAAGTGCCACTAGCGCCATCAATTTCTCTAATATGGAATTAGCCCACTTTATTTCAAGAGCCTGATCAACTGAGTGATTTAGTACTGAGCTTAGGTTTCTTTGTTATTTACTTTAGCAGTAAAACCTGGTTCTACCTTGTGAGTGTAACCTACCTTTTAGCATGATACAAATAGTAAGTCTAATGTAAAACAACTTATTTGCAAGCACTACTTTATGAAAAAGATCTACTTAGTAGTAACTGTACAGTACTTCCTATAATAACCTTACAGTACATTCAGGAAATTACTACAGGATACTAATAAAATACAAGTATTATAGATTACATCAAGACAGTACTACAGCTATTATACAACACTACAGCAATTATATGGACGCTTCTACCTATTTAGGTTAAACTGTGGTCGTGCAACTTTGTAATTATGCAAAACCATCATTTAAATATTCAAAGAGTTCTGTAAGTTGTCATAGTTCTATATAGAACTACTATACTTCACTACAGAACCTTTGAAGAACCCCTTTTATAAAAAATGTAATATGTCTAAAACATACAAGTGAAAAGTTTTGTGATCTTAGAAACAGTCAACATGATGCACTTTCCATTTAGAAAATACTGAATGAGCCCATATTTAAATATTTTAGTTACTTTAACACCTTTACAGCCCTGGCCATTTAAGGGATTAAAGAGTTGTATACTGATAAAAGATACTGACATTAAAAGTCAGAGATGCTAATTAAGCTGTAACAATTTGAATTTTTTTGTGTTTAACCTAATTTTGAAAAAGTCTTAAATTTACAGGCACCAGCCATTGCAGTTTACGATTAAGCTGCATTCAGCGTGAAAGCAGCTTAAACTCCCTACCTGTCACTGTAATGCAGACTGGAGAGGCTTACTGCTTTAATAAAATGGTGTAAATAAATATAATATATAGTGTAATAAATACAATGTTCAATGCAAAAAAAAAGATTCCATGAACAAAGGGCCATTAAAAGCTTAGGACACTGATATCTTAGCACTTTTGGGGGTTTTTCCCATGGCATCAAATGTGTATGATGAACAACAAAACCCAAAATTCAATGTTTCCCAGGTAGGGCCTGAGTTCTAAATGAGTTCTAGTGTGAACAACTGGTCTGAGATCTCCTCAGTGCTAAAAAGGACCAGAAAGAGAGCCCCTTTAAAGTTTGCCTCCACTGTGAACACAAAAAACACCGAGGTCATTTGCAACTGGTTCCCTTTGAGGTTCACTTTAACAGAGCTCAGTTTGGTTCATTTTATTAGAACTATATGCAAAAACACCCTTAGCACGGCTTTGATCTCGAGCACCTTAAAACTCTGGTATTGTGGCAACCCTACTTGCAAGTGCAGACACCTCTATTGCTGAATTTGAAATATACCGACATGAACACATTATTCAAACTACAGAATACACCCTTCTACTGTCTCGCATTAATGCACCTTATTTTACTGGCATTCTGAACACATCTGCTCTGAGATGTAGGCCACTGTTAGCGTTAAAGAAACTTTCACCGAATTGCTTCTGTCATAGCGTCAGGACACGCGGTACGCAAAACTAGAATACTGTACACTTTTTCTCCTGAGCTCAGCAAGCACATCTGTAGACATCTGCTCCACGCTGCAAAAACATAATGATTTTGTAAATTGGCTCAGACCTATCACTAACAAATTACTTTCTCTCTCAAGCTTGTGAAAAAAAAAACATAAAGTGGGGGCTTTTCTCATATAATGTAAGCAGTGCAGGCTGATGTTATTTTACCCCTCCACACACAATTAATTCACAGATGACTAAACCTGCTAATTTCACGGTCTACTAGGGAAACAAAATGCTTAAACGGCCAGAAATGGTCATTTATGCGGCATATTAAAACTATACATGGACATGGCGCTCTCAGCATGCAGGCCTAGCATGAGGGAATACCAATGTGTATGTGTGTGTGTTACCCAGCAGAGACAGTTTCTCTTAGCATATATCCCGTCATTTGCTTCAGTCTGAGTAGTAACATCTCACTGCTTCTCTGCCGATTCCAATTAGCTAGCTGTTTCAGCTGTATACAATATTAGCGGGGAAGCATGTAGTGGAGTAACAATACACAAAATCCACAAATCAGATTCATACGATAAGGAGGTGTCACATTTTTAACACAATTTTTTGATACATCTGCCTTATGTCATTTCTGCAAGTGAACTTTTTGTGTTTCAATAAAAATACTGTGATTTTATGTGTGTACAATTGTTCAAGGCTGTGTTTGCTAGTCATATACTGGCAAGCATTTTTGAGCTCAAAATGATCTAAAATTGTCATTACCAAAACAGTCACTATCAAAACATTTGGTAAAGTTTTGGAGGTGTTATTATTGTATTGGTAGTGACAAAATGGAATGTTCAGCATTTGTTTTAAAATACAAATACATTTGACACTTTGTTGTCAATTCCACTGTAGGTGTGTAACAATTCACAAAATGTTTTAATCGGTTTGATACGACAGGGCAGTGTTTTGTGTTGATACATTTTTTGATACAGCAAAAATAAGATGTGACTGAAAATCTGCATTTTGTCAATATGTCAATGTTTCCATTTTCTGCTTATTAGTGCATTCAACCTTATAAAATTACAACATATTTTAACAATATATCAGCCTAATATCGAACTAATATTCATTTATAAGTGTGCTTTTCCTCCCTGTTCTTGATTTTGAGGTATGCAGGAAGCAATATTTTCAGAGAAAAAAGTACCTGCCTTCTTTGTGGGCTTATTTTCTATTAAACTTCATGCAATATGATGAGTTTTTAAATGAGTTTTTATTTGATCCAGTCTGTTGAACATGTTGTTTGGTGCCTGTGTGTACTGAACTGAGAGGCTTATATAAAACAGTGCAATAGGATATGTTGTATTATTACAGGCCTGCAAGCTTGTATGTATCAGCTTGTCATAAACAGGGTTGTCACTACTGGTTACATTATTAATTGGGTAATCTACTGATTATACTGATGACTGAGTAGTGTTTTTTAAAAATAAAAATGGACTTACAACAGGTGATGCACAGGATTTCAGATTTCAAAATTCTTCTTTGGGAAAAAGTACCGTGCAAAAGTCAGACATCACTTTGCATTTATTTAATTTCCAGTTAAACCAGCCATTAAGTATAAATTATCCATTTTTCAGCATCTTTTTTCCACACCTCCAAAGTTCAGTCCAAAGTTGGCTGTATTTGCTGCTTTTCACGATCCAAGTAATCCCAAAGATATTCAGTGATGTTAAGGTCTGGACTCTGGGGTGGTCTGTCTATCATTCTGGGAACACCAGCACTTTGTTTGTTTAGCAAATGTTCTTCTTTGTCTATTTCCTTTTCTCAGTAATTTGCACATCCTTTCAGACTCACAGTGTTGAGCTGTCTTCTCACAGTGGAAGGATGGACAGAAACACCGGTGATTTTTTCAGATCTGAAGGAAGAATGGAACTTGATTTTCTCCTCTCTCTCAAAGATGAAAGCTTTAAGTGCTGTTTATCTGATGGTGACAGGTTTGGTGGGCTATCAGGTCTAGCATGGTTGTTAGGAGTCCAATTTTCCCTATAACTTTTAAACATTTAAAGAAATGCAAATAGATTACGTTATATCTGGCTGTTTTGACTGGAAGTTAAATAAATGAAAGGTGCTACCTGACTTTTGTACAGGACTGTATATAAAACCACAATGTAGTAAAAAATGCATATAACTAGGAGGACTTACAATGTACATCATCATTATGTGTCATGCATCACGTTTCACTGAGAAGGCGGATTTTAATTGTGTTTTTTTAATCAAGTAATTACAATTAATCGATAAGTTGTTGCAGCCCTAGACATGAGTCACACTCAAATCAACACAATTTCCTTTCTTTGAGTCCACTATCTATCCTCTCAATAATTTTCTCTTCTTTCCTGATAACGAACAACACACTCCAAGAACAGAGCAAATCAAGCCGCCAGTCTAAACAGGATTGCAGTATTTTAATAAAAAAGTAAAAGGCTGATGTATAATGGAAGCACATATATCTGAAATCTTCACAAAACAATGTGGCACCAGAGGTGCAGGGGAGTGGATTAGAACTCTTCGATTTTTCCACTGTTTGGTCTATCTCTGTGGAAATGATAAGCTGTGGTACAGCTCATGAAGCCGTTCCCCTGGCCATCCAGTTGAGAGGCAGGCTCGCTATGGGGGGAGCAGAGGGGATGGATGCATGTAGGGGTACTGTAAAGAGCTTTGGAATGGAAAGCAGCATGGGGTGCTGGGTAATGGCCCTGAAAATGCTTGACTGACCTCTGACTGCCGAAATATTTTTCCCCTTTTTGGTCTGCCGGGGTGTGAAAAAAAGGCCTCAGCACTGGGTTCATCGTCTCAGAGCATTTTAGAGTATTTGCATTCAGTAAATCTGTGCAAGCCTTTATTGATGTACTGCAAATAGAATAAATTTATAGTATTTGATAATACTGCTTTAGATATTTCGTTATTCACAACACATATAGTACAAAAATATTAATCCTAGCAGGTGAATGCTATTCTGTCTCTATTTCCAAACAATTATTATAACTTTTTATTAATAAATATAAATTTCTCATGTGCTTGACAAGTTGAAACTATCCAGCAGTGTATTAAGACCATTTCACATAACAAAGTCAATTTTATTATTTAATTATATTTTTATTAAGTATAGTTTCTAAAAATTGGTTGAATAATCTTATAATATACTTACAATGATCTCATAATGAGAATTATTTGATTTATTGTCTACTTTTGAGATGCTGTCACTCACCAATGAATAATTTTTTGGAGAATACATTCATAAAAATAAAGGTTCTTGGACTGGTTTTCAGAAAAAAAAAATAAGCGCGTAGAACCTTTCCACTTTCTAGAGGTTCTTTAAACTTAGAAAGGCTATTTGCACTGTCATTAAAAAAACAGTTCTTTAAAGCACCATCCACTGAAAAAGATAGCAGTCCTTTGTTATCACTTCAATACCTTTTTGCACCTTTATTTTTAAGACTGACTCTGTATAGTCAAACTCTTATGCTGTGAGTTGCCTGCAACATATTTTCTGTGCAACTTACCCAAACCGATTTACAAAGCTGCTCGCAACACATTCACAGTTACTCCACAAGAAAGCCAAATTAGCAGCTCTTATTTTTTGATACAACACATTGTTCACACATTGACTTCATTATAAAGGCATCCGCAAGATATAATTTATTTATGTTTATATATATTTATATATATAACTCCTGTGATTTTTTCAGATCTGAAGGAGCTTGATTTTCTCCTCTCTCTCAAAGATGAAAGCTTTAAGTGCTGTTTATCTGATGGTGACAGGTTTGGTGGGCTATCAGGTCTTGCATGGTTGTTAGGAGTCCAATATTTATTATATATTTATATTTATATTTCTGTATTTTATTTTTTGACAAAATGAGAACTACCAACGTCGAGTCAGTCAGGGGGTCAACTTTTCAACCACCCAATAAACCATTTTTTTTTATTTTCTTGTCCACTAATCTGGTGAAATCAATGGCTCGACAGTTTGTGATTTGATGTGATTGTATGTGTGGTATTGATATTCTGACTGGCTGCTCTATGAAACTTGTCTCGCACAGTTGAGTTGGTGCAACTGTTGTGGCTAAGTTTCAAGTGAGTTGCAGGGCACTTTACATTATGCAACTCAAGTGCAGTTTAGTTCCAAGTATGTCTCAAGCAACTGAACTTGTGTGAAAGTTTCCTCATGTAAAGCCAGTCTAAGAGACATTCTAATAGCACTGAAATATTGCAACTAAAACTAACCCAAGCCAATTAAAACAAAATGTTTTCCAGATGTAGTGTTGACATGATGAACAACATCTCACCTTAAAGACCAGCTCTCCAATAAGACCATTCCAAGTGCCATCAGCTTGTTGGCTGCCATATTTGTGATCAGGAGCCACGTAGATCTCATACTTGAAGCCTAGGTAGTTAGCCAGAGCATCGAGGACATCGATAGAGAATCCTTGGTACTTCTTGGGCTTCCCCAACACATTCTCTGACACCATGACAAACGGCTCCTCCTGCAGAGAACAATGGCAAAAATGTTTAGAACAGAGTGCAATATTTCAGACAGACAATGTACATGTTGTAGACGTAACAGCGTTTCAGTCGCAGAACATTAACTTGTGTGTCGCAAACACAGCATGGCAGCCAAGTTTATCAGAAGAGCACACATGTCGGAAAATCTGTGCACGTCAGTAACGAAATCAAAACAAAACTGTCCACCACTCTTTAGTTAGAGCTCATAATTTGATTTTATTTGTAGCATGAGGTAAGACTGGTATATGAAACCTAAAGGCTTAATGTCACTTCACTTTATCCTGGTTTTATGAGCTCTGACGTTATTCTGAGCAAAGTCATGAGGGCATTACTGCTATGTCACTTCCAATCAACAGTAATGAAGGAAAAGGAATCCGTGCCGCTTTTGTTGTGGTGGGAGTTGAGTTATGGACATAATATAACCTGGGGACTCGATGGATCAAACGTCTCGGAGAACATGCATATCTTAGATCTTTCATGGTAATAAACTCAACCAGACATATCCGGACAGGCTGCATATGACCCTGTTTCTATAGTTTAATTCAACCCCAAAGTTCAGTGCAAGCTTTTAACAGTTGCACAATATGCAGGTAGTATGGTAATTCATTAGTATTCTTTCAGAAGATTCTGCACTTGTTATGGGTATATAATACCAGGTCTTTTCTTTGGTAACACTTTCTTATAAAGTCTCTTATTTTCTATAAACGTGGTTTAATATGAGGTCCAAATTTCAAAGTAATAAGTAATGATTCTGGGTAAAACAGACTGTAAACACACAGACAATCTATAAAATAAATACAGCATTGACCTTTTTTTTCTGTTAATCTATCTGTCTATCTATTTTGGCCTTTAGTATGGTATTAGTATTGCGATTGCACTGCTACATATTGTGACTGTGATATGCTTTGCCCTACAGTTTATTAAAAACACATTGGTGAATCAATAATAGGTAGTGTTGGGGTAAGTTACTCAAGAAAGTAATCCATTACAAATTACTAATTAGTTCTCTCAAAATGTAATGGGATTACTTTAATAATCACATTATAGAAAAATGAACTGCACTACTCAGTACTTCTGTGTTCCTCTCTAAAACCCATACACATCTGTATCAGCTGGAAAGTACCAGGGAAACCCTAAAAGTACAAAAACAGCTGAAAATATCAAGCCTTGTCTGTTTAGGTGAGAATGTAACTCTAAGTCTAACTAAATAAATTTCATATTAGAATGATTAGATGTTTCGGGTTACGGCCTTTGCTCTGCACTGCTCATATTCACAATCAGCTGTTGCAGGTAGCATATGTGCATTATTACTTGGGATGTGCATTCAGACTAATTTTGATATTCAAGTATCCGCAAGAGTTAATGGACAGGTAACTGGTTAACTGCGAGTGAAGAATAAAACAGCCAAAAAAAGGATGTATGGCTGGAGATTTACTCTTTTAGGTTATAGCACTGGTGTTAATAGACTAAATATGACAGATAACGGAGTCTCGTCAGATGAGCTGAAACTATAACAAACTAGTGCAATACTGGATGCCGATGAGAGCTCATCATCTTACGTTAGGGATTTTATCCACAGTAGACAATGTGCTAACATGTTAGATTGTCATAGAAATATATTTCTGGACCTAGCAAATATCAGCTACAGTTGTTAGCCTAGTTATCCATAACACCTTTCACATCTTTAACAACGCGCCCTTGGCAATGCGCTCACGTTCAGGCATTCACGTTTCCAAGTATCACAGTGTAATACACATATTTACTCACAAATATGAACAAAAACATTTCACAATCCTGTTAAAACATAAAAGCAGCGTTTCATTGAACTGGATATTTTCTCCATCTTCCTGTGATGAAATGGACCAAGTACCTGAATAGCTGTTTCAATTTTCAAACACTGGCATGTTGTACGGCTAACCAAACACTTGAGTACTCATGCACATCCCTAATTATTACATATAAGAACAGGCACAGATGACATACACAGATGAAATGTAGGCTTTGTATGTATCGCACATAATATTGGTCTCTCAGAGACATGAGGAACAACATAAACAAAAAATTTGTTATTAAGTCAGTAACTGTAGTGTGAGCACTGGAATTTAAACTGTAATGCGTTACATTACTTCGTTACAGGAAACACTAATAAGAGTACACAGTTAAATTGACATATTTTTCAGTCAAAATATTTTGCTTATAAAATTAAATTACATTGATAATATAATAATTATTATCTTAATTCACCAAAAACCCTCATAAAATATACAGTTTGTCAGACTGCCACAGCACAGTGTAAAATAACACTGTGATTGAAAAGGATTAGCAGTACCTTCTTACGTATCCGTCTATAACCATATAGATCAAGAATGCTTCAATTACTTGCCAGACAGTATAAATTATTTTGCACATTGTCTTTGCATGGGAAATGTTGCTGCTACTAGAAAAAAGTTCACAAGTTTTGATGAAGACTTTAGCAGTAAGTTCACTTAGAATGCTTTCACTTTGTTCTGTTTGTGAATCTTGTAAGAAATTTTTAACAGAACCAGAAGTGAAGCAAAGTTGAACATTTAAAACTTAATAAAAGCAGGGGAAGTGAATAAACCATTCTTTTTCTGTTCTATTTAAAGGTTCCCATTTATAAAAACATTAGTTAACTCTGCTCTTGATGTGAATTGTCATTCATACATTATTCATTTAAGGTCCATTTTAACAGACTCATGAGAGCCTTAATGTTCTGAGAAGGATTTGGGTTTTTACAGTGTTCACATCAAAGAATTCACTTCTCCTTTAGAGGATTTGGTGAACTTAAGAAATGTAAGATACTACCGAGGGTTTTAGGAGTAAAATCGTACAAGCAGCGATGAATAAAAAAAAGCTGTGAGTAACACCCTCCTCCATGGAGGGAGCTAGACACCATCTGCATTGACTGACCAAGCTAGACAGATGGAGATATACAGTCTCGGCGGATTACTAAAACCAAAAACCACGCCAGCTTTCTGAGGGCTAGGGATGATGTGGTTTGGAACAAGTTTGACCCTTGGGCCTGATCGTGTTCCGTAAAAGGTCTACAAACACTGTCGCAGGCTGCTCGACTGGCTCGGGAGACTCTCTGAAGGTCATCCAGAGAGAAAGCTTTCTCTGAAAAAAAGTGGAGGATTACTGACTGCCTGTGAACAATTCTAAGGAACATTGGTTCTGAATAATTTTATTCTACACTGGATTTCAGACGAGTGAAAAAAACAGATTCAAAAGAAGATGAGTTATCAGAATTGTGGCAAGACTTCTATATTCTACACTGAATTTCAGGCAAGGGAAAAAAAATGCATCCAAAAGAAGACGAGTTCTCAGAATTGTGGCAGGACCATCATTATTTCCTCAACAGCTATGAAAATCAATTCTTATTTTGAAGTCATTTTGTGTGGAAGACAATCTATAAGTTTCCAGTCTAGTTAAACAGCAAAATTACGCATAGCAGTGTACTGTAAACTCTGGGCATGACAAACGCTCCCCAGCTGGAAAAAGAGCTTCTGGCAAATAGTCAAACAATGCTCTGTGACACGGTCCACAATCAGTGTTTGAGTGCTACACAATCAGCTACAATCAGTAGATTTTAAAGCTAAAGTACATGTAAATTCACCCTGCCACTTCATCAATAAAATTGTCCTAGTGATCAAAAATAGCGCTTGGACAATGATCACTGCAAAAAACTGCTTGTGCATAATCTATCGAAGACAGAGTCGCAAACAAGCCACCCTGAAAATGTAACATCTACGCCAGTCCAAAGAGTCCAAAACTGAATCTGATTTTACTCTAAAACCTCCTCACTGTGGCTTTACAAGTCCATGTAATGTATGCTTAATATATGCTTAATGCTTTCTAGGACAAAAGCAGGATTTCGCTGTTCTATTAGATTTAAACCTAAAATGAAGGCGAGCTTTAGTTTAGCTATAGATCAATGAAGCTGGCCAACAGAGTTAGCATTACAGCCAAAGGCAGGGGAGTAGCTAGTGGTGCAAAGGACAGAAATGATAAAAAGCACAACTGATCACAAAGTTGGAGAGATGGAGAAATGATGGCCTAATCTAGTTTACAGACTGAAGTTTAACAAACCCTCAGCTCTTCTTGTACTTTTTTAATGGAAGAACCTGTCAAACATTCATACCCAATATGTCCTGAATGAGCACAAGAAAAAAAAACAGTCATTCACAATAGGTTCATCTTATATGATAAAAACTAGAAAGCTTTCTGTAAAAAAAATAAATTACTCATATAATACTAAAAATATTAAAAACGCATAAAAATCTAATGTGTTGAAAGTATTGCACAATACATTCATATGAACATCCCTAGTCAAATGACAGGTTCTGTTGATTTTCTAACTGAAAATGAGTTAACACATCCTCTCCGGGGATGAACTTAAATATGACATTTTTCTGCAAAATGTAGTGCACATTTTGAATTTGTTTTCTTTGTTGAACATAAAAATATAATGCAAAAACAAAAAAACACCTAAACAAGTGCAGCAAGTCTATTAGTTGACTAATTTACTTATTAAGTGACTTAACAATTGATTGGCTGTTAGATTGATTACTTAAATGATTCTCTGATTGACTGGTTAGTTAACTGATTGATTTACTGACTGGCTGATTTTATTACCCCTTCACATCTTAAATTTTTGATGCCAGTCCCTCAGTACCAGCAGAGTACCAGAGGCAATGGCTGTGGAGCTCTGGCTGTGGAATAGCAAAGCTTTGCAGTGATAAGAGGAAGCAGGTAAATATTATAGTTCAGCCAAGGACTGCATATTAAGAAGCATGAACAAAAAGTAACAGACAGCCCACTATTCAGACGAGCAAGCAGTCACAAGACATTGCTAATTTTCAGCCCTGACTGTTTTTTTGTCTGACTAATGTTATTACTGTTTAAAAATGGTTAGGTCTCCTCACACTGATAAGTTGGACTGTACAAATTGAATTAAAAA